AAAAATATGATAGGGCAGAGAATACACAAAGCAGAGATCTAGTCTCTTCTAACAAATTTAGCTGCTTTATACCAGCTCCAAGAATTCTTCTTCTTCTTTAAAATTAAGCTAGTTCTAGATTTGGTTGTCACCATAATAGTGTATTTGTTTACATTGTGGAAGTTGCCTTGTTGAGTTGTCAGAGACAAGATGCCAGCACCAAGAGAAGTGCAAATTTTCCTCATTCATCTTAATGGGCTGTTAACTTGTGAGACTAATTAGGATCACTGAGGTGTTAACACAGTTAACCTCTTTATTGCTGGTCACCACACCTAAAACATTGCAAGAATATGGTCCTCTTCTATGGAGGAACCCACCTGTTGTCACCTCTTGACACTTACTTCATTTGAAACTCTAGGACTGCAACTAACCTTTGTTGGTAAAACTCGCTTCCCTTTATTGTAGGTGGAGAGTTTATGAACTTCCTAATGCCCTTTCCTGGATGGGCTGCAATGTCTTGAGCTAAAACCGTGGGACTCCGGTGCATTTTCGAGATAACTAGATCCTGGAGCCCCACAGAAAGCTCAGTTAGAACAGTTAATACCTATGCAAAAATACACAGCAGGTAACCCTACTGCAAATCTCTGCAGAAAGTCAACAGACTTCGTACAGTTCTTTTCAGATTGTCCACTGCATCCAGCAGTCTCTCCCTGGCAGTGTCCAGCAGCTGCTGCTTCAAAGAAAGGTGGAAGAACCTCTACCAGAAGGAAGTCAAAAATGAATCTTTTCCACAGGTAACAATTCCTCCTCACACCCATCAGTGTTTGCTTAAGGGGAAGCACGAAGCTTTATACCCTAGACACCTCAAGAAACCTGCAAAGCTTGAGCATGTCTTAGAGAGGCTCTAATAGGTGGATCACCAGTGTGTGTGATATATTTATGGCACGCGTCCCTTTTCAGTCCTCTAGTCAACCCGTGGCAAAAAGGGGGATGGGGGTGGGAGGAAAGAGTGAGGTATCCTTCTGGTACATCGCATCTCAGGACCATCCTCTTTTGTGCAGAGAGGTCACAAGAACAGGACTCCTGCTCTCTCTTGGGGTGCTTCACTCCAGAAATAATCTAGATCAATGCAAGGATTTTTTTTTTTAAATTTAGCTGGCAGGGCAAGGAGGATGTCGAAGGGGGGACACACACTTCTAAATAAAAAAGAAGAAGAAACTGAGACACAATCTCAATGAAGATTTTATCTCAGACTTGATGTGCAGCCCTAACAAGAACCTTCATTTTGAAATACGATTGTTATTTTCTTGGAGTCTAGCTTGTCAGAAAAAGTCAGACACCCCCCCTCCCTTAAATTAATATTAAAGACAAAGAGGTAAATTCTCCGCTTGGGCACTGAAGGTACGTCAAAGGCTCTGCACAGCCCTGGCGTTGCCTTCATGCGAGGGGATGATTTATAGAAAATTGCAGGCAGAACACATGCACATCCTGGCAGCCATAAAGACAGTCCCTCCCTTCCTTAATGTTCTTTTATCAGCTTCTTAGGAGGTGTCCGCTTCGTTTGTCTACATGAAGCCATGAGACCAAGTATGAATTCCCAGGATTTTTGCCCCCCTTCCAGAAGGATTCTCTAAGTCCAACACTGCTCCTTCTGTCCAGAATCTCCTCTCCTCCTATTTCCAGCACTTGTTGGAAATGTCTGTCTTAGCTGTTAACTTGCACGGCTCAAGAGGCAGAGAGAGAGAGAGAGAGATTTAATGGGAGATCCTCCGTGTGTGTATGTGCGTGTGCGTTGTACTGCAAGCAGGATCAGGGATGAGATCATGGGAGACTCTATGATTTAAATATCTGGTTAGTGCATGGCACGGTTTTGACCGCCCCCCCGCTCCCATGCCTCCGTTTGTTCTTTAGTTGATCGGCTGGGATAGCTAAAGTGAGCAGAGTTGCAAATTGCTGCCTCCTACATCGCTCCTAAAATCTTGACGCCCTTTAAGAAGATCATCTCAGCTTCACCACTCGCATAGAAATGCCTCAACTCCCGGCCAGGAGCTTCCCGTTAGCCCCAGCCCGGGAGCGATGGAAAGAAGCTGTCCGGTTCTAGTCCGTCTCCCATCCATGCCAGCTAGAGGACTAGGGATCAGGCACGTCCTTGAACTCCGATTACTTTTTGTCTGACTACCAGGTGTTGATTTTTC